GGACTTCCGGTCGGCGCCATCGGCTAATGGCGGATTTCCCTCCGAGCTCCGGAGGGGGTCTGCTTTACAAGTTCGGGTCCTGTCGCTACGGCGAAGCGGGGACCCTCAAAAATTACAGGCGCGGAAGCCTGTGAACAAGGAGGCTCGGTGGGCACCATCGCGCCCCCCCGAAATCGCAAGGGAGCCTTTTTAAAGGCTCCGGAACGGCAGCGGGGGGAGAAGCGGTGCTGAGAGCCGCTACCCAGCTTGTGAAGCGAAGCCGCATCGCCATAGCCGGAGAGCGCCGATTCCTTCCTGAAAATTGGATTACAAAGCAAAACTCGTGAGTAAGACTGAGACCTAATTGGGATTTACAACTATCTTTTTGAAATTTGGCTGAAAACGGGATTGGTTTAAAGTAAGGAAGTCAGCCTTTCCCGGACTGCATAAGGATAAAGCAAAGAAGGATTAAAAGCTGTAACCATTGAGAGATCGCAAAGAGTTAAGAGAACCAGACATAAACTGTGAACTTCCCCCCTTTTGGTAGGCAGGAGCAAAAGGGGGGAAGTTGTGATTAGAACCTGCCAGAAAAGGACTTTAAAAACTTTTCACCACTGTGTCAAACACCCCTGAAACGGACTGCCGGGGCAAAGGAACCTGGAGAGATACAACTGTCAGTGAGCTGTCACTTGGATTGTTACATTGCTTTAAACTACTCAGCTCAGGAGAGATACTAAATTACAGGTTTGTTGAACTCTGAAAATATAAGAACTGTTACAATTGACTACTGGGAAACCTCAGGGGAATTTTTGGCTGTAAGACATTTTGTTTAGTTTTGGAAACTTTCTTCCCCTAGAGGGCACTTTGAGAATTGTTGCAAATTGGATTGTAACTACTAAGGCAGTGGAAATTTCCCTTGAAAAACAACTAACAGCTGTGAGAGTGACCTTGGCTAGGCATGAGTGGTGCACCAGAAGAGACAACAACCAGGTCTGGGAGACAATACAAAGTAAAATCTTCACAGCGAAGAGTTTCAGTCCCAGGCATCCCAGTGGCACCAGCTGCAACTGGTCAGACAAGAACAATAATGTCATCAGATCCTGTAACACAAGCTTTGGTTAAAATAAATGAGTCTTTGGAATCTTTGACAAAGCAGGGGGTGGAAAATAGTAGAAAATTGACAGAACTCTCAATTAAACTTGATCAGAATACACAAAGTGTGAATGAATTAGGGAAAAGGGTGACATCTAATACAGAATCTATTAATAAAATATTAGAGGACTCTGCCAATATACGTAAAATTGCAGAAGAAGCCAAAGTCTCTGCTGATGAAGCTAAAGTCTCGGCGGATGCTACACAGGAAAAAATTGCACCAGTTTGCAAAAAGTTAGAAGATCACACATTGGCCCTGTCTATGCTTGAATTGCAGAGAAGAGACAGAAATTTAAGACTACGAGCGGTGCCTGAAAGCGAAGGAGATAACTTGGCGAACTTCCTTTCCAAAGAATTTGCGGATTTTTGGCAACAGGAGTTAGAGAAAGAAGAAATTAAAATAGTCACTGCCTTTAGACTGGGAAGAGCACAAGGTAGGAAGAAGCCAAGGGATTGCCTAATAACATTAAGATCAAGAGAGGAGAGAGATAAAATATTGAGCCTGCATTTTCAAAGAACACTCGAGATTGAAGATTCTTTTGTGGAGATTTTTAAAGATATTCCAAAGGAAATTCTAGACGCAAGAACAAACTATAAAGAACTGGTCGGATTGCTGAAGAAGAACGAAGTACCTTTCAGGTGGGAATTCCCACAAGGCCTATCTTTTAAATTTAAAGGTAGGAAAATAAGGATAAGATCAGTAGAAGATCGAGATCAATTTCTAAATCACTATAGGGAAGACCTTCTGAAAGGAACAGTCGGAGAGGAAATAACACCAGAATCGAAAGACGCAACAGACATTTTAAACTTGACGTTTGGACTGAAATCACCAACAGAAGAAGAACAACTACTCGGAGCAACAGGAGGCAAATAGCTTCAGGATGGCCTTGCAACTTCTAAGTTGGAATTGTAACGGACTTAACCTTCCGCGAAAGAGGAAAAATATATTTCATTTATTGAAAAAAGAGCAGTTGGACTTAATTTGTTTACAGGAAACTCATATAACAAGATTGCATAGGAAACTACTCGTCAATAAGAGATTAGGCCAAGAATTTATTTCATCGGATAAAGTTAAGAAAAGAGGAGTGGTAATCTATGCAAAAGAAAAACTTTCCCCAAAGTTTATATTTAAAGATGAACAAGGAAGGTATTTGGCAATTGAAGTGCAAATTCAAGGTGAAAAATTTTTGATACTAGGGATATATGCACCTAATGAAGGGAAGTCAGAATTTTTTAAGAAGTTGCATGAGACATTGTTGGACTATTTGGATTACAAATTAATCATGATGGGAGACATGAATGGAGTGGTATCTACAAATATGGACAAAGCACAAAGACAGGTAATCACCAGAGATGGGAGACTACCAAAGACTTTCTTTGAAATAACTGAAAATATGGACTTGATTGATATTTGGAGAACAAGGAATCCTCTCGAGAGAGAGGGAACCTTTTCTCTGAAGCAATGATGACCTGGACCAGAATCGATCAAATTTGGATTACTAGTGGGTTGGCTCCAAAGATTAAAAAAGTGGAAATCTGCCCAAAGACTTGCTCCGACCATAACGCCGTGAAGATGGAAATGAAACTTACAACAACTGGTCAATTCAGATGGAGGATGAATGACACCCTGTTTCGAGATGAGGAGATCCACAGAAAGGCCCAAAAAAACTTTAAAGGACTATTTTGAAATAAATCTAAAAACTGATGTAGAAAAAAGAGTGATCTGGGACGCAAGTAAAGCAGTGATGCGAGGATTTCTAATTCAACAAAATTCAGTAAAAAAGAGAAAGCAAAATGAGAAGAAGGATAAGATCTTGGAAAAGATAAAAGAAGGAGAGAAGAAATTGAGATCAAAACCAAAGTCCCAGGAGATTTTGAGAGAGATTAAGTTATATCAGACACAATACATGGAATTGATGAATCAAGAGATTGAATGGAAGATAAAACAAATGAGACAAAAGACATTTGAATCTGCAGATAAATGTGGTGTCAGGGAACTGCCATCGGAAGGAAGGGAGGTGAAAGGACTCAGACAGGTTGGAAGAGATTCAGCAGCTGAAGAGGGAACCAGCAAGGGGAGAGAAGCTGAACTGAGGGAGGTGAAAGGGCTCAGACAGGTTGGAAGAGACTCAGCAGCGGAAGAGGAAACCAGCAGGGGAGACAAGCTGAACTGAGGGAAAGGGAGCTGGGGGATGGCTCAGAGATACTTCCAGCGAAAACAGTGGTGAGGTTTCCGGACCTCCTGTAGCGACACCCACTCCTCGCCGGAAACTGTCACGCAGAGAGTCCAGAAGACGTGTTTCCGTTAAGGAGCTTTTATGTTGGAAGCGATTACGAAAGCAACCACTGTCGGAATCTTCTAGTGACTAAGAGGAGCCATGTCAGGGGGCTCAGTCACAGACAGAGGTTTGTGGACTTGAACAAACTCTGAGGGAATACGATTTTACGCACAAGCAGCTCATAATCCCATCACAGCATTCCGACAGTCTTTGAACGCAGCTTGTGCAGGAGACGGCATAATAATGAGCAACCCAGCAGGAACCGGAGAAGCAGGGGCTGGAGCGGGTCCAAGCCTGGAAGAAAGGTACCGGGTGTTAGAGGTCCAGCTGGCGCTGCAGACGGCGAGGCTGGAGGAGAGGAGGGCTCAAGATGCAGACAAAGGAGAAAGCCACCCAGCTCGCCAGAAAGGTACCAGGATTGGTGCAAAAATTTGGGGGGGAGCCCAAAGACTATCATAGCTTTCGGACAGAAATGCAATATGCCCTCAATCTGCAGTTTGATGATTTCCCTGATGAGGAATCACGAGTGGCTTTGTGATTGGGCATCTTGAAAAGGGCGAGAGACTGGGTTAGACCCCTGATGGCAGCGAATAGTGACGTCTTAAAAGACACGATGAAGTTCTTTCGCGCCATGGATCTGATGTTTTCCAGCGATATTGAAAAGGGAGTGGTGCGCAGACAGTTAATGGCTTGCAAACAGGGGAGCCGATCTGTACGTGAGTACTGGACTGAGTTCACCATGCTGATACACAGATTGGGGTGGGACTTATCGGCGGAACCCATTCAAATGCTCTTTGAAGAAGGGCTTTCTTCGGCTGTGAAAGATGAACTTTCCCGGGCGCCCAGGGCGGAGTCTATGGACCAGCTGACCAAATCAGCGCTGGCCATAGGAGGCGCGCCAGGAGGCGAGAGCATTGGAGAGGCGGGAAGGGAAGGGGAACGTTGGAAGGAGTTCCGCATTCCAGACATTCCAGAGCCAACTGTCCCGCCGGCAGAGCCGATGGAAATCGGAACAGCGCGCGCGCGCTAGTTTCAAAGCCCAGTGAGGGGAAAGAAGGATGGAAAAGGCGCCCGGAAATGCTATCTCTGCCAACAGCCAGGGCACTTTGCCAGAGTCTGCCCCCAGAGGAAGGAATGGCAAGGGATGGTGGGAGCTGTGGAGGGAAGAGAGGAAAAATACCGGAGCAACTAAAAGCCAACGCCTGGCTGCCATTGTCGGGCACAGCAGCCAGGCCAAAGAGCAGTGAAAGTGCCCACTCCAGAACCTCCTAAACCCGCCCTAGTGATAGAAGTGACACTAGAGCTCCCAAACGGACACCCTCTAAAGATAAAGGCGCTGTTGGACTCAGGCAGCTCCTGCAATTTCATGAGCAAAGAGTTTGCAGCTGAACACCAGATACAGACGCTCCCTTTAAGCAACCCCCTGCAGGTAACCACGATCGATGGCAGGGAGCTGTTGGGAGGAGAAGTCAGCTTGCAGACCGTCCCAATGATAATGAAGGTGGCAAGGCACACTGAACTGATAGCTTTTAATGTGGCCACCTTGGGAGGAGCTCCCATTATATTGGGGATGAGCTGGCTAGCGTTACATGATCCGCTGGTGGGCTGGCATCAGAGAGTGGTTTCTTTTGGGTCAGCACATTGCTTAGAACATTGCAAAGAGGAAAGGTTTTGGCAGGGGCCCAAGCCACCCTAGCAGGGACTGAAGTGAAGGAGAACGTGAAGGTACCACGACAATACGCAGATCTCCGCGACGTCTTCAGCGAAAGGGAAGCTGACCAACTACCACCGCATAGAGCCTTTGACTGTCAAATCAATTTGCTCCCTGGGGCACAGCTCCCTGTGGGCAAGCTGTACGCCATGTCAGACAGAGAGATGCAGGAGCTAAGAGAGTTCATTGACAAGAACCTGAAGAGAGGGTTCATCAGAGAGTCCAGGGCGGTGGGGGGCAGCCCAGTGTTTTTGTGGACAAAAAAACACGAACAAGCCGAGACTGGTGTGTGACTTCAGGGCCTTAAATGCAGTGTCAGAACCAGTGGCCTTCCCGATGCCCAGGATTGACGACATTTTGACAAGGGTGCGAAAGGGAAAGATTTTCACCAAGCTGGATCTAAGGGCGTACAACCTGATACGAATAAGGAAGGGGGATGAATGGAAAACCACCATGTTCACCCCTTTAGGGGCATTTGAATACTTAGTTATGCCCTTCGGTCTACAAGCAGGCTCCGCAACATTTCAATCGTTTATGAACCACGTCCTGGGGCCGTTGCTTTACAAGAATTGTGTGGCCTTCTTAGACGACGTGTTGGTGTATTCTGAGAATGAGGAGCAGCATGTGAGAGACGTCAGAGAAGTGTTGAGCAGGCTGCAAGCCAACCAGCTGTGGGTGAAACTGGAGAAGTGTCAGTTTCATACCAAGGAGGTGGAATTCCTGGGGTATCGCCTGTCTGACAAGGGGTTGGCCATGGATCCCGGCAAGGTCCAGGCGGTACTGGAATGGAAAACACCCAAAACAAGGAAGGATGTGCAGAGGTTTTTAGGGTTTGGGAACTTCTATCGTAAGTTCATCCCAAACTTTGCCCACCTGACGGCGCCCATTACGGACTGTCTCAGCAGTAAGAAGAAGTTCGTTTGGACGGAGGAGGCGGAGCAAGCATTTGAGGAACTAAAAGGGCCTTCGCCTCGGAACAACAGCTCCTGCATGTGGATTTACAAAAACCGATGAGAGTGGAAACTGACGCATCAGACAGAGCGGTTGGGGCGGTGCTTCTCCAGCCAGGGAAGGAGGAGTCAGAGTGGAGACCGTGTGCTTTTTTCGCGAAAGCTGAACAAATCCGAGAGGAACTACACGGTGTATGACCGAGAACTACTAGCCATTCATGAGGCGTTCCGGAGATGGAGGCACCTGCTAATTGGCGCACAACATAAGGTGCAAGTGTGCACTGACCACAAGAACCTAGAGTATTGGAGGACGGCACGAGTGCTCAACCAACGGCAAGTGAGATGGGCCCAGGAATTCTCCAAATTTAACTTTGAGATTTGTTACGTGCCAGGCCCAGAGAACATTAGGGCGGACGCTCTCTCACGCAAACCTGAATATTGGGAGGAGGGAGCACCCGAAGAGAGACATGTCATTCCAGAGGACCGCTGGGTGTGTGGGGCGGCATTGGTGGGACAAAGAGAACTGGTAGAAGAAACAGAGAATGATGAATACGCCCAGAATAAGCTCAGAGGTCTTAGGGATGAGGGAGAGGAATCAAGGGGTTTCGAGGAAAGAAATGGAGCTTTGTATTACAAAGGGGCACTGTATATCCCTGAAGGAGACTTAAGGGGAGGGTACTCAAGCAGTTGCATGACAGCCCCACGGCGGGGCATTTTGGGCAACACAAAACCATGTGGTTGGTCACCAGGGAATTTTGGTGGCCTAAGGTGAGGGAGGATGTACGTGAGTATGTAAGAGGGTGCGAGCAGTGCCAGCGAGCCAAGGGGAAAGGCGGGCGCCGGCGGGGCTATTAGAACCCTTACCAACACCAGAACGACCTTGGGAGGCAGTGTCGATAGATTTTATGACTGATCTGCCGAAGTCCAAAGGGAAAACAGCCATCATGGTGGTGGTAGACCTACTAACAAAGATGTGCCACTTTGTAGCTTGCTCGCATGCAGTCACGGCGGAAGAGACAGCGAAGTTATTTGTAGAACACATTTTTAGGTTGCACGGGGTGCCATTGAGGGTGGTCTCAGACCGAGGAAAACAATTTACTTCCAGGTTCTGGAGGAAGCTCATGAGCTTACTGCAGGTGGAGGTCAACTTTTCGACTGCCCGGCACCCTGAAACCAACGGGCAGGCGGAAAGAGCAAACGGTGTCCTCCAGCAATACCTGAGGTGTTATGTCAATGACAGAGAGAATGACTGGGTAGAAAAGTTGGCGCTGGCGGAATTTGCCTACAACAATGCCGAGAATGTGTCCACAGGGATGAGCCCCTTCTTGGCTAATTATGGGTGTCATCCCAGGGCTTTCCCAGGGGAAGAAGGGGAGAGATGGAGCGTACCGGCAGCCGAGCATTTTGTAGAAGAAATGGAAGCAATCCACCGTCAGCTCCAACTCAACTTAGAAAGGGCGAAGGAAGAATACAAGAGGCAGGCAGACAAGAACCGAAGGGAAGGTGAAACCATAAGGGTTGGAGATAGGGTGTGGCTGTCAACCCGAGGGTTGCCGTTCAAAGGAGGTTGTAAGAAATTACGACCCAGGAGGTTGGGTCCCTTTGAGGTCATTCAACAGGTCAACCCAGTGGCTTTCAGGCTCCGGTTACCCAACCACATGAAACTGCACCCAGTATTTCACAGGTCGTTACTGTCACCGTACGAGGGGACGAGAAGGGATGGACACTCGGGGACCGGTCATAGAAGAAAGAGAATGCAGCAGTCATGTGGCAGAAATCCTTGATGCCAGGTGGAGGGGAATCAGGTGGAGTATTTGGTAGCGTGGGAAGGAGAACCGGAGTCAGAAAACACGTGGGTAATGGCCAAAGATATCAATG